GCTCTTCCCAACGATATGGACTGTAGATCGCGAACTAAAAGTTTGGGGTCTGACGTGGCGGGTAGGTGTGATCGTTTTCACAATTCTTATGGCGATCTTCATTCCCCATTTCAGTATCCTTATGGGCTTTATAGGCTCTTTCACAGGAACCATGCTGTCATTTATATGGCCCTGTTACTTTCATTTGAAGTTAAAAAGAAACTCCATGGAATGGAGCGCTGTCGCGTACGATTGTTTCGTGATTTTCCTTGGAGTACTTTTTGGTGTGATTGGTGTATACGATTCAGGCTTTGCCCTGATCAATGCCTTCAAAATCGGCCTGCCGTTTTGAACGGTAACACACGTGATTCAGCTCTCTTGTTCTTCGTTTATCTTCCAGAGAAACAAAAATGATACAATGTGTAGGTACGTCACGACTCAAGGGAAACATCGAATTTCAGCTTGCATTGATTGATTTTTAACGTTACGTTCATGGTTAGATTGGTTAAAACAGTGATTCATTGCGATTAAATCGTTATCTCCACATTTTATCACTCACATGTATCAAACGTACACTGTATGAAATTCGTATAGCTTTTAGCACCTGCAGTGCAATCCATTAACGTGCATTCCCTTGAGAACGCGAATGTAATCTATTAACGCGATAACGTCTATATTTTTGCTGATTTCGAACGTTTTTAACGTTAATCGTACAAAAAAGAAAAAAATTATAGTTGCGTGTCATCGCTTAGGGAAATTCTATATATAAAAAAAGGAAAAAACGGAAAAACGAAAAAAATGTATCCCTTTGCTCGTTCAGATAGATATAACATACAAATTCGTTTGATCGAAATCTATACAAAAGGTTCGAGACGTTTTGAGATTGTATATTTATATTCAACCAGAACTCACACATATCTAGCAAATGATCTATTTAAGGGGAGAAAATCGTAGAAGAGAGAAAAAAGAAGAATCTATTCGCGTATATTTCGGCTTCGACATGTGTCCTGCGCCTTTCCTTTGGGTTTACGTCTTCCTTTCCCTTGACAAAGATCGTCAACATTCAGGGGCTTTCTAGGCAACATTTAGACTATTTAGAGCGCAGCAAACGTGACAATATCTTGCTAGTTGTAAGTGATCGATGTCTTCCATAATACGTTTACAAGTGAACACATGGTGAATATTGTACGTACAAGTTAACTACTGTTACGCAGATTTCGGGATTTTATAATCACATTGCGGATCTTGTAATTTCTATCTACACGTTGACTACAGCGCCACACCGAGGAGGCGTTCGTTGTTAAATTTACGATTAGTAGAATTTAGCCGGTGCAACGCGTAAAAAGTGAGGGCAACAATGTTTCTTATTATGGTTAATTCAGAATTTAGCTGCCAACACGTTAACAAGTTAGTGTACTTTGACGTCTCCTCGTCGTGCAAGCGAATGCAAATATGTAACCAGTTATGTACGGATGAGTACAATTAGTTTATATAATCCAACGTCTTCCAGGTCCATTGCAGACCGCATAGATCACGCGTTAGTTTAAGCAATATGAATGTAGCTGAAGCAGTAGTTCAGCGGAAACTGCGAGATGTTTTCAGAAGTTGTACATTGTTCAATTGATTTAACTGTTACATCTTGTTGCAGATTATACCTTAATTTTTTAATTAATTTTTAGTGGTATTACACATATGTATGGGTAAAAGCACATATGTATGAAAGTATCGTATATGTGAACAAGGGTTTGATATAAAAATTGATCTTTTAATATTTGATGTTTTATAGGTAGAGAAGTACGAATCGAACAAAGTGAAGGATTAAAAGGGATAAAAGACGCGAAAATAATGTTGATATCATTGTAACAAAACTAGCCTTAATATATCGTTAAAATGATATTAATATTATTCAATAGAATTAAAAGTTCTCCTAGATATATATTTCCGTCATTTTGAGCGATCGACGATTCCAAACTTTTTAGTTTGTAAGTTACGTATTATTTCTTTCTTTTTCTTTTTCCTTCTTTCCTAGGG